CAGCTCTATGCATTCTGCTGTCCCTCTTGCCTAAATGCCTGGGAGGGATGGTGGAGCCTGGAAAGTCTCGTCAAACCCGTGGGTTGAGAAATTGTCTTTCATTCCCTCCCTAGAAGTTTAGAATCCTCAAAGGCAGACTTGGTGTGACAAGGATAGAAGACTTGTCCTTGCAGGACATGAAGAAGATCCCTCCGCTGGCCCTTATAGAGTTGACGGCGCTCTGTGACGTGCTCGGCGTGGACCTACGGAGGAGCAAAGCGGGCAAGCCGAGAGCAACAGGTCAGCAGTCCCAGCATGCTAGACACACGGTGGCTGGAGTCTAGGGAGCTGCGTGGGGAATCTTTCAGGAGAACGTGCTTGTGCTTGTAGTGTACGCGGTCAAGTTGATTCCAACTCACAGCGATCCTTACAGGACAGAATAGAACTGCCCCATAGGGTTTTCTAGGCTGTGATCTTTACGGGCGCAAATCGCCAGGTCTTCTCTCCCGCAGAGATGCTGGTGGGTTCGAATTGCCGACCTTTTCGGTTAGCAGCAGAGCGCTTAACCATTGCACCACCAGGGCTTCTTAAAACATGCTTAGCTTCTGTATTTTTTCAGTTACATTTATTGTTTACTTCTGCATATGAAGACAACTGTTCATTGTAGAAAATTTGGGAAATAGGGTCAAATACAAAGAAGAAAAAATGCAATTCAGATATAAACACTGTTGACATGTGAGTGTATTGTCCCAGTTGTTTCATGTGTATGTGTGCATGTGTGTGTCTTTTTTTCACTTAATATTATAGAATTATGGACATTCCCATTATTATTGTATCAGTCAGCTACTGCGACAATCATGCTGCATAACAAACACCCCCAAAACTTGGTGACCTAAAACAATAGTTATTCTTGCTCACGTGTGTGTGGGTGAACTGGAGGGTTGGTTGGCTGACCTCGGCTGGGCTGAGTTGAGGTCAGCTTCAGAGGTTTGTCATCCTCCTGTCTCCATCAGACAAGCTGGATCATGTTCTTCTCATGGTGATGGCAGAGCACAAAAAGGCAAAGCCCACAACACAACCACATCTTAAGGCTCTGCTTGCATCATGTAGATATATTTCACTGGTCAAGCCAGTCCCATGACCAAGCTAGTCCCATGACGGAAGCACATTCCACTACTCTAGTGGGAAGAACTGCAAATTCACATGGCAAAGGGCCTGAACACAGGGAGCAGTAATGAATTTGAAACAATATTATCATTTACTACAATTATTAAACATTCTTTGAAAACATGGTTTTTGATTACTGCCCTATTTTCCTCCTTATGAATATATCCTGATTTGTTTACCATTTGTCTAATAGTTTCCATGTTTTTGCTATTATATACCATGAAGTACGATGACTATTGCTGAACACAGAACTTTGAAAGCATCTTAGATTATCTTAGAATATACTTACTAGTTAAGTTCTTCATGGACCCCGTGTTTCTGTGGCCTGGTAATCCTAGGGAACATTTTATTGGGCATGTCCATGGCACAAGGCATTTTCCAGTGCTTCACCTGCATTGGCTTGTTTCCTTACCTTCCCTAGGAGATGGGCTCTGTCGTTACACCCCCACTTTGCAGATGACAAAATAAAAGTAAAGCCTAGGGAGAAGTGACTTGGACAGGGGATAGAGCTGTCCAACATACAATAATGTATGAAAGTGTTCATCTCACTACATCCTTGTCAGCATTGTATATTGTGATTTTTGTATGTGTGTGTAAAATGAAAAGTAAAATGCCTGGAGACAAGAGGTGGTAGATAAGAAACACCAGGGCTAGAAATCTAGCAGGGAAGGTGGTAGGCAGGTGAAGGGAGAAGGAAAGAGGTTGTAGAGAAAATCTGGGAGGAGGAGCTTTCCGAAGACCCAAAGGCAGGATGGTTGAGGAAACCTGGTAAATATGTTTCTTAGCAACTTGGCCTAACCCTGCAGAGCTAAACGCCCTACCTCAGACTGTTGTAACTTACTGTACTCAGTGCTCCCGGGGGCAGCAGTACATTTTTCTTCCCACACCTCTTTATCCAGCTCAGCTTTTTGCTCTGTGGCACATCTAACGTTTTCTTTATTGCTGAGGCCAAATGTTCTGCTCAAGAGATGTGGAGAAGTTTGGGCTCAGCCACTCTCCAGAGAGCCCAACCCTTACACAGGGAAAAGATTGGAGTCCAGACACCTGGGAGATCTTGCAGTTTGGAGCCCAATTGTGATTCCAGGCAGTGAAATGCACCTCTGCCCTCTTGACTTTCTGCAGAAACTTGCCTTTTCGGCATGCCCCTTGATGCCTTGCTGGAAGCTGACCGCAAAGTTCTCCCCAGCACCCAGGTCCCACTGGTCCTTCAAGCTGTAAGTTGTCCCCAGGTTGGGCTTCTAAGGGCCTCTTGAGAGGCTGACTCTGGGCACCACTGTTGGGAGATGCATAGCATAGGGAATAAGAGAATGGGCTCTAATCTCAGGGAGACCTGGGTTCAAATCCTGGCTCTTATAGTTGCTTCTGGAGAGATCTGGGGTGGATTACTGAATCTTTATGAACATCTCTTTCAACATCTGTAAAGTGAGGTTAATAATAATACTAGCTTCCTCCTGATAAACATTAATGAGAAAATTACATGGAAAGCTATTGTAGTTATTTTAAGGAAAACCCTTCTTCGAGCACTTCCCTCTTCCTGGTGTTCATGGGAGGCAGACACACTCGTTTGAATCTCACTTTTCGAAGGTTGCTGGTTTAAATGTTGTTTTTTTTTTTCTCTCACAGCTGCTGTCCTGTTTGGAAAAGAGAGGGCTGGACATGGAAGGCATTCTCAGGGTGCCGGGATCCCAGGCCAGGATCAAGGTAATGATTTGGCTTCCCCTTCCTCATCAAGGGAAACCCTGGTGGTGTAGTGGTTAAGAGCTATGGCTGCTAACCAAAAGGTCGTCAATTTGAATCCACCCTGCATCTCCTGGCACTTCTACGTATGCGTTAAGCTGGGAGAGAGTCCAGTTCATGGCTTGTCAGTATTCTGTCTTTGGTCTCTGTGTGGCTCAGGGAATTCCAGCAGGGTTTGAAAGGGTGGGATTGGCCCGACAGAGCATGTGGTTGAGAGTGTGCACTCTGGAGTCAGATCGGCCAACATTTTTTAGCTCAGCCCTGTGCTCAGTGACTTACATTAGGCCGTTTAATCCTCATGTCAGCCCTGCAAAGTAGGTACAATTATTGTTCCCATGTTGCAGATAAGGAAACTGAGGCCCTCTCTGGTAGAGCCACTTATACTGAAACCTTGGGCCAATTTCTCACTGGTGACCCCATCTTTCAGGGGCTGGAACAAAAGCTGGAGAGAGACTTCTACGCTGGCCTTTTTAGATGGGATGAAGTTCATCACAACGATGCATCTGATTTGCTCAAAAGGTTCATCCGGGAGCTTCCGGCACCTCTGCTCACTGCTGAGTACCTTCCGGCCTTCGCTGTGGTACCCAGTGAGTGTGTGCCGAGCCCTTTGCACTGGGGAGAAGGACAGCCTGAGGCCCTTGGCCTTGGCTGGAGAGGGAACATGGCAGGAAAGCAGGACAACCTGTTTCCAGGGATGTCTGCTCCCTGTGCTCTGGAGCTGACGGGGGAGGAAGTAGAGAGAAGAGGTCTCAGAGGCTCTTTGTCGTGTGTGCCTGTGTGTGTGTGTCTGTGTGTGTGTGTATGAGCATGCATGTGCACACATGATCAGCAATCAGAGGGTGTGAGGGAGAGGAGGAGGGTAGGAGGGTAAGGTTCTCGGCACCACGGTCCTCACTGCAGTCTCTCACGTGGGCCAGTTTCCTTCCCCTCCTGATCTCTGTGGGGTCGATCTCACACAGGAACATCTAGCTGTGTGTCCATGGGCGCATGTGCATATGTGCATGTCTGTCTCTCTGTGCACACACCCACAGATTGGCATGCATTGCACAGACCCCTCTCTATATTCTGCATATATGTGTTTCTGTCTGGACTTCTTACTATCCATAGGGTATAAACACAGTTCCTTCTATTTTTCTCAAAAACGTTAACCAACCCACTTGTCACAGGGTCGCTATGGGTCGGAACTGACTCCACAGCACCTAACAACAACAACAACAAAGGGGGCTGATGTCCCCAAGACCACACCGCTGTCCTGGTCCAGCCTCATGCAATGACTCCTCCATGTGGGGGTACAAAGCCTCACTCTTAGCTTCAATGCAGGACATTTCTGAAGGGCCCGTCTACCCTCAGAGCTTCCTATGAGGTTGGCTGGGGCCTCTGTTGCAACTGCACCACAGCCCACCTTCTCCCTTTACCCATTCCAGCTTTCCCCATCTTCCCAATTCCCCACAGATGTGGCTCCTGAGAGCACCTCTCAGTTCATCCCTGCATGCAATTCTGTTTCAGACTGTGTCCTGGAGAACCCAATCCAAGATGCACTCTAAATTAGTTCCCTCAATGTGTAAAATTGGAACAACACTGTCATGAAAAAAAAAAAAAATTAACCAACCCACTTGCAACCTCAAGGGGAATCCAGTTCTCTCCCCACCCCCACCCCACCCCACCCCCGTCTGTCTCCCTTTCTCTCTCTCTCTCTCTCTCTCTCTGAATTCTCCAGAAAGCTTCAGGGCTTGGACTGTCTGACCTCCACCCCTAAGCCAGGGGCCAGGACCCTGACTGTCCACTCCAGCTGCTTCATGCCTTCCACAACACACTTGTAAGGAAACTGAGCCGTCCTTGGAGCTCAGACCCTCCTACCTCGCCTCCTGGCCCCTCCCTCACCATGCCTGCCCAGGCTCACCTGCTTGGTGTCCCTCCTTCTCCTCCTTCTTCAGGGCCTCAGCACTTGCTGTTCTTTCTGTCTGGAAAGCTCCCCTCCTCCCCCTTCACTTGGCTGCTTCTTGCCATTCAGACGTCAGCTCAATGTCAGCACCTCAGCGAGGCCTTCCTTGGCCATCATGTCACGCTGGCCGCCCACCCTGGGCACCGCTCATCAGAACACCCTTTTGTTTTCTGTGGAGTATGGGCCAGTGCATGGAGATATTAAGTCATTTCTTGGCTTGTTTATTGTCTGTCTTCTTTTGTGAAATGTAAGACTTTGACCTTGTTTGCTTCCTTCACTGTTGTATCCGAGGTGTCTGGAATGGACATAACAGGTACTTGATAGATCAGGGGAGTCCCTTGAATGACGAAGGTGGTTTTCCAGAACCTTTCTCGTTAAATCCAGGAAAGAAAAAAAAAAACAGATTAAATCCTCGGGCTAGCCTCCCACTATGTGTATGATGTGTGTGCCCACACTCACACAAGCCCTTTCCTTGTCTCTGTTTGAGTGATATGTGAGTCTGTATGTACAAACTGCCATACATTTTTTATACCTTTTTATGTGTCCATCTGGGGTGCATATGCCGGCATTCATGCGGATCAACATGCATTTTATATGAATCTGCACCTAAAGGTTGTGCCCCACAGACTCACTGCATTTTTGACCCTGGGCTGTAGCTCTCAGACTGCATATCTGGATATGTATGTGCACACATACACGCACATGTGTACGTACATGCTGATGTGCACATGTGTGTGTTTGGGTGTGGCTTATATACATGTGTCTGCATGTGTGTGCATGCATGTCTCTGTGTGGGCATGTGCGTCTGAGTGTTCACAATGCATAGGGAGAGAGTGAGCCTCTGACCAGCACTTCTTGGGGCTCTTTCTGAGCTGACGCTGGTCCAGGAAACAGTTCCAGGCCTTATGAAGAAGGGATTCATGACTGTGCTGGACTTCCCAGCTCTGGGATCTCCCTTCCCCAAGAAGGGGCCTCCAGACCGAGGGAGGAGAGTTCTGAGCCTCCCATGGAGACTGACGCCCTTGGTCTTCCCTCAGATATCCCCAACCTGAAGCAGCGCCTACAGGCTCTCCACCTGCTCATCCTGCTCCTCCCGGAACCCAACAGAAACACCTTGAAGGTAAAGGTCACCATGAGCTGCCTCTGCTCCGCTACCTCACCCCACCACAGTCACGGCTCCAAACATGCTCATTCATTCATTCATTCAAAAACTATGCCAGGTGCTGGGTGCATGGATAACCAGCAAAGATTTTCCTGAGATTTTTTCCTAAACAAAGCAGTTAAAAGGGGATAGTGTTTCTGGAGTGGGCACTGCAGAATATTAGTTCCATGTGATCCCAACAATTGTCACAGGCAGGAGGGTTCTATGCCCAAAGAAAATGGGTAAGCACTGGGTTAATGAAACAAAGTCAAGGGTATTTCTTTCTCATAGGACTTCTCAGAGCCTTTAATATGCTAAGGCTTTGTGAATTTCCAAGTGGAATTAGAGTATGTAGCACTTCCCAGATTTATTTGATCAAAGGCCACTTTTGTTGTGGAGAGCATTGCATGGCATTGGTGTTCTGTGGGGAACCAGTTTGGGAAACACTCTTAGGGAAATCCCACTGTGTGCTATTGGGATGGGTGCTCAGGGCTGGGGGCTGGGACTCAGCCTTGGCTTAGCTCCCTGCACCTTCCTGAGTGTCTTTGGGTCAGACGCAAGATGTGCTTTCAGGGTGAGGCTGTGAGGAGGCCCATGTCTATTGGGATTCTTGTCTGGTGAGGATGTAGGAGGCCACAAAGAAGTCTTCATAACCAGACAGAGTGATCTTCACTTCTTGTGCCTCCACTTTGGTTGAAGAGACAACATCTTTGAGTTTCTGTTTCCTTTTCAGTAACCTGAGGATAATAATAGCATTCTGGGTGGTTGTTTTGGGAATTACAATAGCTAACACATGAGAAATCATGGAGTAGATGTGGTGCTTAGCAGGTACCCAATATATGTGCTTCCATCCATCCATCTTTCTTCCATCCTTTAATCTATCCATCCTTCCATCTATCTATCCTTCCATCATCTATCCTCCTTTCTTCCATCCATCTCTCCTTCCCACCCATTCTTACCGGCTATGTGGCCATGAGCAGGCTCTCCAAGCTTTGGTTTCCATCTCTGTAAAATGGGTACAATAATAGAACTTACCTGATAAAGTTATTGTGAGGATTAAATGAGATAACAAATGCATGTAAGGCTCTAACTAAAGGGCCAGGAATACAAGGATTACTTAATACATGGTAGCTATTATCATCTTCTCCTTTTTTTCCCATCCTTTCTTCTCCCTTCTTCTTTCATTTTTGGGCATACTAGAAAGAAGGAGTTGACTGTCCTAAGGCTCACCAGGAAAAAGCTCACTTCCCAGAGCTGTGGCCCTTTTCTGCCTGAAGTTGAAGTCTGACCCCAATGTCCTCACTAATCTCTGTGGGAGCAGGGAGAGGAAAGGCTTTGGGCCACGTTTTACAGAGCAGGAAACTAAGACACAGAGAGGTCACAGGGTGGGCTTGTGGCAAAGCTGGAACTAAAACCCCTATTCCCGCCTTCCCAGCCTCTGGCTCCTTCCACATTTCCGTAAATCACTTATCGGGTTGTTTTGAGAAAGGTGGGGAAGTATTTGGGACATGTTGAGATTCAAGGGAGGTCCTGTGCCCTTCCCCAGGCACTCCTGGAGTTCCTCAAAAAGGTGGTGGCCCGGGAACAGAGCAACAAGATGACGCTGTGGAATGTGTCCACGGTGATGGCCCCTAATCTCTTCCTGCACCAAGGGCGGCCCCCCAAACTCCTCAAGGGCAAGGAGAAGCAGCTGGCCGAGGGGGCAGCCGAGGTGGTGCAGATGATGGTGCACTACCAGGATCTGCTGTGGACGGTGGGTGCTGCTGGGTGCTGGGAAAGGCAGGGAGGGAGTGCCCACCTGGGTGACATGGACAGGCCCCTTCCTCCTCTGAGTGCAGCTGCCCTGCTGCCCCTGTGTCCAGGGTCAGCATGTACTGTCCTTTTGAACCCCTAGTTGTGTCTGTTCCTGGACCTTTCTTGGACCCCATGTATGGGCCAGTGTCTTCTTCCTCCCCCTGCCTTTGTGCCCAAGATGTGTCTACACTTGCTGTCTCCACTGCCACCGCTCTCAGTCACTCCACTGCCATCTGGTATGCCAGATAGCAGGCATTCCCTGAGCTCCCGCAAAGAAGTCTTCTACATCAGAGCTTTGATGCTGCAGAGAAAGCCCACCCTGAGGCTCGGGCACACAGTGCCTGCCTAAGACAGAGGCTGCAGCCAGGGAACCGAGACATTCCCTGCCCTTACCATGAGCCTTGTCCAAGTAACAAGCCAGGGCAAGGGGCAAGAGCAGGGAGAGACCTCTCTGTGGTGTGGGCATGCAAGGCCTGCTGAAAGATGAGGGTGGTCTTCCTGGTTAAAGACCCTTCCGGCACGCAAGATTCCCACAACACGGGATAGCCCTAGCCTGGTCCGCCACTGCAGGAATGTCAAGTTTTAATGAGCAGTGTAGGAACTGCTGACTGCTTTGTGGGTGAGAGAGTGCGTCACCAGCATGCCTTTCACCTGTTAAACACATTGGATTATAATAAACTTTTTTTTATTATAGGGAATTTTTAAAAATTCAAGAAATGCCTAAATACCTTCTCCTAAAAAGATTCAGGCAACATACCAAAAAGCCAAAATCTGTTGCCGCCAAGTCGATTCCAACTCATGTCGACCCCATGTGCTATAGAGTAGAACAGCTTCATAGGGTTTTCTTGGCTGTAATCTTTATGGAAGCAGATCTCCAGGCCTTTCTTCCTTGCTGCTAGGTGGGTTTGAACCACACCTTTAGATTAGCAGCCAAGTGCAAACTGTTTGTGCCAAATTTCCCCTCACCTCTCCCCCAACGTGCTTTATGTGTATCATCTTACTTAGACATCACACAGCCAATAAAGCGAGGAGCCAAGAATCAAACCCCGGCTCTGCCTTTGTTTCCAGGGTGGAGCCTGGCTCTGTCTGCTGGCTCTGATTCTACAGAGGGGCATGGGTTGATCTGGGTGTCTCTGTGGGAATTCTCCAACGCAGGGCTGGCTGGGGGTTCTCAAAGCCGAGCCCCCTCCAGGTGTGCCCTTGGGGACTCCCTGCCTGAGTGTGCCAGTGAGCCGCTGTCCCACAGCACGCGCAGGCCCCTCCAGCCTTCTGTCCGGAAGACGTCTGTCCACTAAGCCTCAGGATCCCCTACTCAGTGGTCCTCCTTAGGGGCTAAACGCCCTCCTCCTGCCACCAAACTAGTGCTTCGATCCCACTTTCAACAAATAGGTATTACCAAGTCCGCTGGGATGCCGGGACAGGGAAGAGGCCACAGTGACCCTGCCTCCCAGCCCCAGCAACCCCACGCCCCTGGTAAGTTTTGATTCTATCTCGCCAGGTCGCCTCCTTCTTGGTCGCCCAGGTGCGAAAACTGAACGACAGCAGCAACCGGCGCTTCCAGCTTTGCGACAGGGGCCTCAAGACTTGGCTGCGGAGGACGCACGCAGACCGGGACAAGGCGGAGGATGGGTGGCGGGCGGTGAGTATCCTTCTCTGGTCGGATGGAGAAGGGGACTGGGGGCGGGAGGAGGGTACCCAGGGGCGCAGCGCATCACCATACTCTCGGTACGCGCTGCAGGCTGCTAGGAACGGCTCTACAGCTTTGGCCACCAGGGGGCGCCCAGGCCCCATCGCATCGAGCGAGGAGCGGGTGCCTCAGAAATGAGGGAGATGCCAGGGGCCTGGGGAAGGAGGAAGACTGGCGTGGGGTAGGGAGAGGGGGGTGCTTCTCATAGAAGCCATCTCCCGGGCCTCTTTGTTAGGGAGCCCCGTGTGTTCTTGGCCAAAGGGTGGAAAAGTGGGAGTGGTTTTGTGGGGCGTGGGGTTAAGGCGAAGCAGAAGGGAAGTCCTTATGTAAGTCTATATGCGTGCATTTGTAGGTGTACTGCATGTACTTCTATTATGAGTATGAATGCATGTGTGCATGTATGTTTCTATGCCTGCATTTGTGTGCACATGTGTATGTATGTAGACATGATATGATCTGTGCACAAGCGCCTAGAATGTTTGTGTATGTGTACATCTTGTGATTTGGAGTGTGGGTATTGGTGGAAGTGCACGTGTATGTGTTCATGCACACACATTTAAATTGTAGGCATGCATGTGCGTGCCTGTGTATATGGATCCTTCTCTCCACAGACTTCCAAAGCGGCAAAGATCCAGGTGGCCTGTTCTATCAAGGACCCCGTGGAGGTGCTCCTGACTCCCCGCACCAAAGTGGCCCATGTGCTAAGGCAGTTCTCAGAGCACCACCGCCCTGGGTCACAGGGCCAAGAGGGCAGCGAGGACACGCACAGCCTCCTCCCTTGGTAAGGGGCACCTCCCTGGGCTGGAATCTCTCCCCTTCAGAAAGCAGGGAGGGGACGCAGGGAGGAGTGAGTGCCTCCGAGTTGAAGGCCATCGAGGGGGGTTGCCCACGCCCTTAGTCTGGTCTTTGGCCTTTCCCTTTCTGGGGTGGTCAGAAGAGGGTTCTCCAACCTTCTTAGAAAGCTTCTGGGCTCCGAATAGTAATGATAGTACACACCATTCATTCATCCATTTATGCATCTAACAGTTATTTAATGAACACCTGCTATGGGCCAGGCGCCATGTGGAATGCTAGAATAGCAAAGAAGAGACAGAGGCCCTGCCCTGACAAGCTCACAGTCCTATGGAAGAGACAGACATAAATCAAATAACCACAAAATAAATATTAAGTTATTGACAGTATTAGGTTCTATAATAAATATAAGGAGCAATGTGAGTGTAAAATAAGGCACCTGGTATATTCTAGGGGTGAGAGAAGGCCTCCAGGCCAAGGACTGCATGTGCAAAGGTCCTGAGGCAGCAAGGAGCATGGCATGGCCAAAGGGCTGAAAGAAGCTCAGTGGGGCTGATGTGTAGCCGTCATCCCAGGAGGCAAGAAACATCCTGAGACCTCAGTAGCCTCCTTGATGGGGTTGGCACCAGAAACTCTCAGACTGTTAGTCCTTAGCAAGTGTCTGCTCCAGCCCCTCGTTGCACAAATGGGAACACTAATGTCAGAGAAGGGAAAGGGCTTGCTGAGAGTCACACAGCAAATTGGGGGCAGATCCTGGAATTGCACTCAGGATATTAGTATCATACAATACATAATTATGTTGTTATTGTTAGGAGCCGTCGAGTTGGTTCCAACTCATAGCGACCCTATGTACAACAGAATGTAACACTGCCCGGTTCTCTGCCATCCTCATAATCATGGTTATGTTTGAGCCCATTGTTGCAGATACTGTGTCAATCCATCTCCTCGAGGGTCTTCCTCTTTTTCACTGACCCCCTACTTTACCAAGTATGACGTCCTTCTCCGGAGACTGGTCCCTCCTGATAATGTGTCCAAAGTACATAAGACAAAGTCTTGCCATCCCTGTTTCTCAGAAGCATTCTGACTGTACTTATTCTAAGGTAGACTTGTTCGTTTTTCTGGCAGTCCACAGTATGCTCAATATTCTTTGCCAACACCATGATTCAAATGCATCTATTCTTCTTCTGTCTTCCTTATTCATTGTCCAGCTTTTGCATGCATATGAGGCAATTGAAAATGCCATGACTTGGGTCAGGTGCACCTTAGTCCTCAAAGTGACATTTTTGCTTCTTAACACTTTAAAGAGGTCTTTTGCAGCAGATTTGCCCAATGCAATACGTCGTTTGGTTTCTTGACTCCTGCTTCCACGGGCGTTGATTGTGGATCCAAGTAAAGTGAAATCTTTGACAACTTCAGTCTTTTCTCCGTTTATCATGGTGTTGCTTATTGGTCCAGTTGTCAGGATTTTTGTTTTCTTTATGTTGAGGCATAATCCGTACTGAAGGCTATAGTCCTTGATCTTTATCAGTAAGCCTTTCCACCACTCATTTGTCATATTGTGGTGGCTTGCTTGTGGCTGTGATGCTGGAAGGTATGCTACCAGTATTTCAAATACCAGCAGGATCACCCTTGGTGGACAGGTTTCAGTGGAGCTTCCATTCTAAGACAGACTAGGAAGAAGGACCTGATGATCTACTTCTGAAAAAATCAGCCAGTGAAAACCTCCATAGTCATATAATAGCCATAATCCATCTGGACTCAGCATCTGCCCCTCACAGCAGGTTCCTGTCCCCATGTGTCCCCCTTACCCACCACCTCACGGCACCCACCCCAGATTCCAGTGGCCAGCAGGAAGGGGCCTTGCAGCCCTCATCGAGTGCCGTCCAGCGGCCCCTTTCCGGCTTCTGGCTGCTGGGCTTCTTCACACTCTCCAACTCTCTCAGGAGGGTCCTTGTATCTCTTCTCCTGCCTGGTACCAAAACCCAGTGAGGACCACCCGCTCAGGCCCCAGGTCTATAAGCAGTTGTTATCTTGCTGCCTCCAGAACAAGAAGCTGTGAATTTTCTTCTCTCTGTCTTGCAGCAACAGGTCCAGGGAGACAGCTGACATCCTCCTCTATGAAGTCGGAGGGAATATCAGTAAGTGCCCCTGTGGGAACTGGGTCGAGTGGGTCCCTGGGAGCTCTCCACCTCGAGGGCGCACTGAGCCCCTCTAGGGGAGGCAGGAGCCCACCTCGGGTGAACCGTCCCCCCAGGCCTCTGTCTCCAGTGAAACCTTAAACCACAGGTGGAGCCCTGCTGGGAGGTTAAGGATCAGCCTGTGCGGGCCTTGGGATTCCATCCTGGAGTCTGGAGCTGGCCTCAGGCTTGGAGACCGGGGCAGTGTATCTCTCTGTCTATTTATCTATCTGTCTGTCTGTCTATCTATCTATCTATCAATCATCTATCCATCTTTTGTTGTGTTTGTGGTGTGCTGTCAAGTTGATTCTGACTCATGGCGACCCTATAGGACAGAGTAGAACTGCCCCACAGGGTTTCCTAGACTGTAATCTTAATAGGAGCAGATTGCCAGGTCTTCTCTTCTGCAGAGCCAATGGTGGGTTTCAATCACCTACCTTTCAGTTAGCAGCCTAGCACTTAACCTCTGCGCCACCAGTGCTCTCTCTCTCTCTCTCTGTGTATATTTCCTTTTTTGGTTTGAAGGCTGTCAGTACCACCAGTGAAATTGACCCCTCTGGACACCCTAGCTGAGGTGGACCTTCTCCCTGGCCAATGGGCCAGGGACTCCTTAAGAATTCGGCACACATGTCCAGCTCTGAGAGGCCCCCTGGCTTTGTGGGAATCAAGGATGGGCAGATGTTTTGGGTTGAGTTCCCTAGAGCACTGATTGTCACACTTGGGCCTGCATCAGAATCACCTGGTAGGCTTGTTAAACCAACGATTGCTGGCCCCCACCCCCAGAGTCCTGGAACCCACAAATTTGCATTTCTAACAAGTTCCCAAATGATACTGTTGCCGCTAGTGCTAGTCTGGGGTCCACACTTTGAGAACCACTGGCCAGGAAGCAGAGGCTAAGACAAGGATCCGGGAGTGCGTGATTTGTGGAGGGGGTGCTCCTCAGGAAAAGCCTGTAAGGGAGGGAAGGAGGGGTGCCAGGATGTGGAGTCAAGTGAAGGCTAAGTTTGGCCTGATCCACAAGGGGGTGCTGGAGCATAAATTGCATCAGAGTTGTTCCCTTGTGAGGTAGGGAGGCTGGGCTTTCCTACCTCTGTGTGGGTCAGCTGTGGGCTGTGGGCTGCCTTGGGGGAGGGGCATCTTTCTTCAGTGGGGGTCAATTCTTCAGAGAATGGGGTAACTGTGAGCCTATAGCAGCCAAGGCTCACACAGCCAGGGTAATGGGTGCACTGGCTAGGTGAGGGCCTCTTCCAGCATCTTTCACAGTCACCACCCTCAACCTCCTTTGCCCCTTCATCCCACAGGTGAGCATCGCCTGGACCCGGATGCCTACCTCTTAGATCTGTACCATGCCAACCCCCATGGTGAGTGGGTCATTAAACAGAGCCCTACCTAATCCTGGGGCTCTAGGGAGCAGCCTTGGATGCCGCATCTCCTTCCCCCCAACACCAAGGACAAGAGGACACAGGACTGTTTGCCTTAATATTGCCTCAGCCAGTGCCTGGAACCACCCCTGGAGGCTGGAAGCACTGAGAAGTCAGCTCTGTGCTGGTTTCAGGTTAGAGTCTGAACAGGGAGGAATTCACCAGAAAGCTCTAAGAAGGTGGCCTAGCGTGGGTACAAAACTGTTTGAGGGGAAGGAAGATCTGGGACCTCCAAGGCCCCTTCTTTCTAAAATGCCTCTCAGACCCCACAAAATATTCAGGACTGGGCTGGCTCCTCCCCTTCATTCCCAGGCACACAAAGCCCCCATTTCCATCTACTCCATCACTGGGTGTACCTGGATCTCCATGGATTTTTGTCCACGATTCCCAGCCCCAAAGAGAACTTGAAAATACAGCACCTCTATCAAGGGGGAGCCTCAGGAAAAAACTGCTTTGAAAGTGGCCCCACACTGCCCAGTAGGAACAGCACAGGAGGGAAGCCAGGAGAACTCTGTGAGCTTGGGGAAGCCTCTTCCCGTCTCTGGGCCTTCTTGAAGGAGGAGGGAGTTGGGCCTCAGAGAGGGGAGAAAACGCTGTGGCCACGAACAGCTGGGGAGAACTGGAAGAGGAAGAACTTCCCTCACACCTTTCATGTTTTAAATGTTGGTTTGTACAATCTTGTCATTTTTTAATATATATGAATTCTGTTTGGACATTAAAGGTACAACACGTTAAATGTCATTCTTGCAAGTTTTTGGTTTTTTTTTAATTTTTTTTCTCTTCCCAGTCCAGCTGTCAGGGGGTGCTGTTCTTCCAGTGAGTTAACGTAGGAGTTGAGTGATGAGGACATCTTGCTGTGCTTCTCCACAGGCTCTGGCCAATGTGGTCTGGCTACACCTTGAACCCACAACCACCCAGAGGGGGCACGAAGGGACCTCAGAATGGGGAGGGGTGGCATAGTGACATCAGGTGCTGTCTACTGGGAAGGGGAGTAGCTATATGGACAGCCTCTCTGGGATCCTCCCAACCACCCCTCTCATCTCCTGTGGTCCCAGGTCTCTCCCTTCCTACATTTCTCTGCCCTTGATCTGTCTCCTAAGGGCAGGTAAGGCCTCATGCCAAGAGCATTACAAATGTAATCTTCACCATAATATAGTGTCTCAGTTTGGGTTCCCTAGAATTAGACCTGGAGACAAAAATTCAAGTGCAAATAGTGATCCCAGGAAACACAATAGAGCTGGGAGGTGAGGTAGAGAAAGGGAGGCAGCCCATAAAGCAAGTTACCACCATGGTCAATTGGAGCTCGGTCCTACTGGGGAACTGTGAGAAACAGTGTAGAACATGTTCATTAGAGTTATTCCACCCATGGGTTGGAGTAACTGGAGCATTTATTCATCAACTCCTATGAGTCATCGGTTGAGGGCTGCACCTGAGGAGGGTGAGCATTTATTCTTTGGCATTTCCAGCCTGCCTGAGCAGGTTCCAATAGCCAGAGAAAGCCCTCAGGTTAAGATATTCAGATACTGGCAATTAGGAGTTGGCCACTGTCTACTGAAAGTGCTGAAGGGATCTAGGTGGGGTTTGATAGCACCTGTAAGGTGATGGTAGTGATGCTGTTGATGATGATGGTGATGATGACAGGGATGAAGATAACGGGGATGATGATGACGGAAAAGATGGTAATGAGGATGACAATGATAGTGATGATAATGATAATGCGATGGTGATGATGATGGCAGTGATGATGGTGCAAAGCCTCAGTGACGTCAATGCTTTTTAACTGCTTTCCCCTCTATTTCCCCATCTATTCTCCATACAGTAGTCAAACATAAATTTGATCTTTTTTTATGGCATATATTTAAACAATTTTCAATCCTATAGAACATCAGACGATCATATTGTCTACTATGCCGAGAATGACAAATTGAAGAGGAATGGCATCGCATTCATAGTCAGAAAGAACATTTCAAGATCTATGCTGAAGTACACCACTGTCAGTGATAGGATAATATCCATACGCTTACAAGGAAGATCATTAATCAAATTTACGCACCAACAATTAATGCCAAAGATGAAGAAATTGAAGATTTTTACCAACTTCTGCTGTCTGAAATTGATCAAACATGCAATCAAGATACATTGATAATTACTGGTGATTAGAATGTGAAAATTGGAAACAAAGAAGAAGGATTGGTAGTTAGAAAATATGCCTTGGTGATAGAAATAACGCTGGACATCACATGACAGAATTTTGCAAGACCAAGGACTTATTAATTGCAAATACCTTTTTTCAACAACATAAACAGTGACTATACATGTGGATCTCATGAGATGGAAAACACAGGTATCAAATCGACTACATTTGTGGAAAGAGACGATGGAAAAACTCATCATTAGTCAGAACAACACCAGGGGCCAACTACGGAACAGACCATCAATTGCTCATGTGCGAGTTCAAGTTGAAGCTGAAGAAAATTAAAATAAATCCACAAGAGCCAAAGTACGACCTTGAGTATAACCCACCTAAACTTAGAGACCGTCTCAGGAATAGATTTGACGCATTGAACACTAAAGACCAAAGACCAAATGAATTGTGGGATGACATCAAGGACGTAATACATGAAGAAAGCAAAAGTTCATTAAAAAGACAAGAAAGAAAGAAAAGACCAAAACGGATGTCGGAAGAGACTCTGAAACTTGATCTTGAACACAGAGTAGCTAAATTGAATGGAAGAAATGATGAAGTAAAAGAGCTGACAGAGAAGATTTCAAAGAGCAGTTTGAGAAGACAATGTAAAGTATTATAATGAAATGTGCAAAGACTTGGAGATAGAAAACCAAGAGGGAAGAACATGTTCAGCATTTCTCAAGCTGAAATAACTGAAGACAAAAGCAAGCCTCAAGTTGCAATTTTGAAGGATTCTATGGCCAAAATATTGAGCAACACAGGAAGCATCAAAGGAAGACGGATAGAATACACAGAGTCACTGTACCAAAAAGATTTGGTCAATGTTCAGCCAACTCAGGATATGATCAAGAATCAATGGTACTGAAGGAAGAAGTCCAAGCTGCACTAAAGTCATTGTCGAAAAACAAGGCTCCAGGAATTGACGGAATACCAATTGAGATGCTTCAACAAACGGTTGCAATGCTGGAAGCACTCAAGAAATTTGGAAGACAATTACCTTGCCAACCAACTGGAAGAGATCCATATTTGTGCCCATTCCAAAGAAAAGTGATCCAACAGAATGTGGAAATTATCGAACAATATCATTAATATCACATACAAGTAGAATTTTGCTGAAGATAATTCAAAAGTGGTTGCAGCACTACATTGACAGGGAACTGCCAGAAATTCAAGCTGGGTTCAGAAGAGGACGTGGTACGAGGGGTATCATTGCTGATGTCAGACGAATCTTGGCTGAAAGCAGAGAATACCAGAAAGATGTTTACCTGTGTTTTATTGACTGTGCAAAGGCATTCTGCTGTGTGGATCATAACAAATTATGAATAACATTGTGAAGAATGGGAACGCCAGAACACTTGATTGTGCCTATGTGGAACCCGTACATAGACCAAGAGGTAATCGTTCCAACAGAACAAGGAGATACTGCATGGTTTAAAATCAGGAATGGTCTGCGTCCGGGTTGTATCCTTTCACTATACTTATTCAATCTGTATGCTGAGCAAATAATCCGAGAAGCTGGACTATACAAAGAAGAACGCAGCATCAGGATTGGAGGAAGACTCATTAACAACCTGTGACACGCAGATGACACGACCTTGCTTGCTGAGAAGGAAGAGGACTTGAAGCTCTTACTGATGAAAATCAAAAACTATGGCCTTTGGTATGCATTACACCTCAACATAAAGAAAACAAAAATCCTCACAACTGGACCAATAAGCAACATCATGATAAACTGAGAAAATAGTGACATTGTCCAGCATTTCATTTTACTTGGATCCACAATCAACACCCAGAGAAGTAGCAGTCAAGATCCAAATGATGTATTACATTGGGCAAATCTGCCGCAAAAGACTTTTCTGAAGAATTAAAAAGCAAAGATGTCACTTTGAGGACTAAAGTCCACTTGACCTAAGCCATTATATTTTCAGTCGCCTCATACGCACGCAAAAGCTGAACAGTGAACAAGGAAGACTGAAGAAGAATTAATGCCTTTGAATTACGGTGCTGGCGAAGAATATACCATGGACTACCAGAAGAATGAGCAAGTCTGACTGGGAAGAATTACAGCCAGAGTGCGCCTTGGAAGCGAGAATGGCGAGACTTCTTCTCTCGTACTTTGCACGTTATCAGGAGGGACCAGTCCCTGGAGAAGGATATCATGCTTAGTAGAGTGTCAGCGGAAAAGAGGAAGACCCTCAATGAGATGGATTGACACAGTGGCTGCAACGATGGGCTCAAACATAACAATTGTGAGGATGGTGCAGGACTGGGCAGTGTTTCGTTCTGTTGTACACAGAGTTGCTATGAGTCAGAACCGACTCCACAGCACCAAATGGCGACACAAGAATTTAACTTAAATGTTAAATTCAATCCTATTGAAAACCGTCCTGCTGAAAAACCTCCAGAGGAATCCCATACCACTTAAAACAATATCCCTAATCCTTACCCTGGCCTGCGAGGTCCATCGAATATCTCCGATGGCTCCTCACCCACATTCCCCCTCACTTTGCAGCACCAGCCACAGAAGCCTCCTTTCGATTCCTCAGGCATATGAAGCTCATCCCTGCTTTGGGTCATTTGCACTTGTTGTTCTCTCTGCTTAGAACACTCTTCCCCTAGCTTCTCCCATGGCTGGCTCCTTCTCATGGTTCGGGTCTCAGCTCAGAAGTTCCTTCTCTGACCACTCCATTTGAAGTTGCTTCCTCTGCTCCTGTCTCCTGTCACCTTATTTTCTTCCTGGCATTTATCACTACCTGAAATGATCTTATTTAATTAGTGTCTTAT